AGAGACAGGGCAGGAACAGAATAGGCAGACTGACTGAAATACACTGCTGAGAGGAGCAATAGGCAAGACAGGAGAGGTCTGCTGTGCCATGTGGGTATCTCCTCAGCAGGCTGGGATCGAACCCACACTGCGGACAGCTTCACAGCACTGCGCTCAACTGCCTGGGCTACCAGGGAGGCCTGACAGAATATTTAATAATACTCTTAATGCCTCTTGCTTGAGAGTATCAAGGACCCACCTAGGGTTGATCAAGTTGTGTTTATTACTAGCTGAATACAAGAATTCTCACCATGAGAAACTTTATTGTCACATCTAGAGGGTATTAGAAAGAATCTATTAAAAAATTTGGAATTTTGTTGGGTGATTTAGGAAAGAGTTGAAGGGATCCTGGTTTGCTGTAGATTAGATGAGGTCAGAAAGCAGGGGCATTTCTAAAAGGGAGTAATAAATAAATAAATATTGTCTAAAGTGAGAGTAGACTATAGTGAGTATGAGTAGCATTCATCAGTCAATAGAGCAGAAAGTTTGGTATTTTATGAGTGACCCCAAGATTGTTTTTGTCTGTGCACATACAAAATTAAGAGGTGGTCTGTTTTGCCATTATTTTATCAAGTTCTTAGGGTGAACCTGTCTGAAATTGGTGTTCTATGACATTGTTCACATCCAATAGGAGAATAACATGGCCTAGTTGTATGTGCCAAGTCATGTTCCAGGTACTAGGGAGTGTTCTTTTTTTGTTTTTATTTTCTTTCTCAATATCATAAAATAAAAAAAAAAATCATGCCTGAAATTCCTGCAGTTGTAATGAAATATATTAACCAAAATATCCACATTGTCCCTTAAAAACCATCATAAAAGTCACAAAATTCTCTGAAAAGAGCACTCTGCCTTTTCTTATGGGAGCATCCTTCAGATTTAATTTACTTCTAAGCCACCAGTTGGACAGCATCTATTTTAAAGACAAGAGAAGCTGACTGAAATGCACGTTGACTGGTGTGGTGTTATATCTAACTCTTAGAATAACATTTCCTTCTGTTTCCTTATGGGGCTTAACCCAACCCCATTCCTGTGGAAAAAAAAATAAAAACAAAAAACAAACTTGCAGACCCCTTTTCAAGTTCTCTCCATTCCTTTCCCTGGAGTGCTTCATCTGTTTCAATACGAGAAGTGAGTTAAATGCAGTGATCTTTAATGAAAAATAAACAAGGGAAAGAACTCCAAATACTCTTCTGGCAAAGTTCCCTTTAGAATAGTCAGCCTTCACTCTTAGAAATTTTATCTTTACAAAAGAAGGCAGAAATAGGAAAGGTCCACAAAAGGGCAGAAATAGACAACAAAACCATGTAGCAGGCTTCTCTGTGAGGGAAAATGAAAAAATGAGTGTCTTTTTAGTCCTGCAAGAAGAAAATATAGTATGATCTACCTGGTGGTCCTGGAAATGACACAGGACAAAAGGAGCGACTGCTACCCACCCATCCCCACTCCCTAGGAGTAAAGGGTGTTCTAGAATTAAAGAGAGAGACATTCAGTTGAAAAGGAATATTTTTCTCCCTCTGACTTATAATTAGCCTGTGGTACAAGCTTCTATAGACTCCTACCAAGACAAATGGTCTAGAAGAGTGAGTTTGGTAGATATCATTCATGCATGCTAACATGAGAATATCCATCATAAACACAAGTGAGCTGGCATCTTCTAAGGCAGCAGCTGATTGCCATTTCAGGTCAGAAAGAATTATATTTCCATCTCCATCTATCATGTTACATATCAGTTGTAACATAGATTTTGGCACCTTCTGTGACATAGTCCAGCAGCTTTTGAAATTGATCTGAAGTTCCAGTTACACATAACGTCTATTAACATTGGATCCAAAGTCTAATTACTTTCTGACATTCTGTTGGGGAATCAAAGCCAAGAGTAAAATTTGTCAGGGAAGATTCTCAATATTCCCCTAAGCTCCAGGTCAACTTGTGTATCCTTGGAGTTCCTTGACAGAGAGATCGATGTGTTAACAGGTTCTGAGGCCTGCGACTGCCCTTGTCGCATTGCCAATGGCCCATGTATGCTCTTTGGGTGTCAAGATGATGAGACTGCTGTTGACTGTTACTGGAAGAGTGTGCTGGAGGGCTGGCTGCCTTTGGCATGACAGTGTTGGCACAGGCCATATTAGACCTTGAAAACTTGGCGCTGATGCAGAGGTGGGTAAACCCATTCAAAACTCATTTTTTTTCTAAAGGCCTGAAGGAAGCAGTGTGGATGGCAAACTAGCAAGTACAGGCCCTAGCTAAAGTGTCAGTGACTACTAATTTTCCAACAATTATCATCATTCAGGGATGTGGCTCTAGAGGTGCCAGCTTTTCAAGAGCAGCCAACTATCTGAACTATCTGCTCTGTAAGTTAAGTACCCTGTTTTTTTGTTTGTTTGTTTGTTTTTAAGTGTTGATGTCTAATTCAAACCTTACTAGACCAAACAAAGCAATTTTCCTTGTAGGCTGCCATTTTGCAATCTCAAGCTAAGGGGCCTGAGGTCTGGTTTTTAGTTTTCTATTATCTGAACAAAAGCTCTGTGGATTGAAGTTTTAGGACATTGTTTATTTCATCCCAAGATGTGAAAACAAATGTAAAAGATAGGCAAAGAAAGCGAATGTACTTCTCAATTGTCACAGTGTTCGCATGGGAAAAAGAACAGCCATTTTAAGTGGCACAGCTGACCTTCAGTTCTGCTTCTACAACTAAATAGTTAGAAAGGTTGCCCTGGAGAAAAGTCAAGTGACTAAACAAACACTAGGTGAATAGTATAATACTAGGTACATAAATGCAGAACACATGATCCTTGCCTTTGAAAGATTCATGCATTTATTGAGAGTATTATAGTAGCATACATGGAGTAATTAGAAAAATAAAATCCAAGATAACATATAAGCAAGGGTGGGATGGGCCCTCAGAAAGTGTGATGATTCAATTTCCTTCTTTCACACATCTCTTAATAATGGTCAAAATAAAGAGCATAGAAAAGCAACATGCTGACCATATGACTTGCTAGATAACTTCCAGTTCTGCTGGATGAAACTGAACATTAATAAGCAAAACCAATAAGAAGTTGGGACCTGAAATTCCAGAAGCCGTGGCATTGTTGGAAAACTTGGTTTTCCATAGCTACTGGTTCTTTGGATTTAAACAAATCTCTGAATTGCAGTCAACACTGTTAAACAAAATAGGCTGTATCATTCTCCCAATAACCCTTGCTTAGAGAGTGGTTCTCAAAGTAGTCTCTGGAGTGTAACCCTCCAGGTGATCTGAAAAATAGAGAAGTCTGCAGTTGTCCCTGGGACTAGGCTAAACCTCAGATAACCCATCCTAGAGATGACCACAATCTTCTCTGTCCCAGAGAGTCTCACCAGTGAGTTACAGTGGAGACCACCAAGAGAGCATAGGTTTGCCAAGTGATTCTTGCTGGTTTGTTTTTTTCCCTCTTGTTTATGTGTTTATCTGTTTGTATATTGTTTTTAAGCCCCATTGATTCCTGTATTAGTTTTCACTTGCTATTGTAATAAATTGCTACCAGTTTCATGGTTAAAACAATATGAATTTATTATCTCACTGTTCTGTAAGTTAGAAGTTCAACATAGGTCTCTCTGAGTAAAATCAAGATGTGAGTAGGGTAAGTTACTTTCTGGAGGTTCTGTGGAGAATACATTTCCTTGCCTCTTCCAACTTCTAGAAGTCACCTACTTCCCTTGTCTTTTGGTCTCCTTTCTCTATTTTAAAAGCATCAATATCAGGCTGTTGTTCTCTCTTCTCTCCTCATTTCACCTTTCAGGACCCTATGATTATAATGGATCCACATGAGTAAGCAGTATATGCACCCTATTTTCAGGTCAACTGATTAACAGTCTTAATTCTTGTGCCATGGAGGGTAACATAATCACAGGTTTTAGGAATTAGAATATGGCAATTTGTGTGTGTGTATATATATATAATATAATATATATAATTATATATATATACCATATATAAATTATATATATTATTTATACATATTATATAACCTATGTTATATATTATTTATATTTACTATATGTATTGTTATATATAACACATATATATAATATATAATATATATTATATGTGCATGTTTAATATATGGATAATATTTAATAATCCCCAATATTTATGTTTGGAGAGATTGTGCAAGTTTTTTTTTCCACATTAAGAGATAGAACATAATAATTTGACTTAAAGAAATATTCAAATGAAACATATGACCTCTTCATGCACACTAATAAACTACTTTTCCATGACCTGAATTAAATGGAAATGGTACGGGTTTGTAATTACACAAACATGAATCACATTCCTAATATGGCACTAGCTGTATAGCTTCTTGCAAAAATTTGACTCATACATTCCTTTCTTCTAAAATGAAGAGAAAAAAACTTCTCCCATATGATTGCTTTGCTTATATAGAAATATTGTCCCAGAATCGTAGTAGAAATATAGTCAGAGGCATTGCATCCTGAAATCCTGAGGTTTTTTTTTTTTGCTGAGGAAATAAAGCTCTTAGTTTCAACTTTATGAATTAATTTCATGAAAAACATCTTCCTGGGGTATTTTGGGTATTTGTGTGATTTGAATGGTAGAATATGTAAGATATTTGAGTTTTAAATATGAAAAACTGACTTGTAAGTGCAAAGTGGTATTGCTTTCCTTATCAGTAAACAGGTAATACTATCATTTGGGAGAAGGCATATAGGTTATCAAGAGAATAAAGAGATGGGTACAAAATAAAGTAGGTTTCAGAGTTTCTCAGAATTAAGAAAATGAATCCTTACTGTCAATAGAAGTCTTCCAATTGCTAGTGCAAGTCGTGGGTAGATATTTTTTTTCCACTAGATTTACTTTCTGATATACAAGTTTATCACTCAAGCAAAGACTATTCACCAAGCTATTTTCCATCGATAACCCCAGCTGAAGTCTGACAGGTTGAGTGTTTATTACTCACTCTTAAAAGGCTGGAGCTCATTTGCTTCTGCTGTGAGGAGAGCTGCAAATTCAGACAGGGAGAGGAAAGAAGGCTCTTGATGAAATGGCCATTTATTGCAGTCAAGCTTGAATAATGCAAAGATATAAAATGAGGAAAAGCTCCAGTTACAGCTGGAAATCAAATATTGATCATCTAATTGCTAGTTTACAAACTCCTCATTTAATGATCCAATTCCCATTCATTCAATCAACAAGCATTAATTGAGCTCTTCCTGTAGACCAAGCCCTGTATAGGGCTATAGAAATCATTGTGCCAGTGCCTACCTCTACCCTGGCACATGCAGACTTTTAATCTGGAGTCATGAAAAATTAAAGTTGCTTCTGAATATTGGGGGCCCTTATAAAACACCAGTGCTTATAATGACATCCTGTAGGGAAAAATCCTGCAATAGACTTTTTCTGAAGGCTCTGTAGTGAACAAATGGTGACATATTACTATTAGAGGAGCAAAAGTAGTTTTTCTTCTACCCTTCTAGGTTCTTGGCTGAGACCCTCCCTCTTGTAATAAAAGACAGATTAACAGGAGAAAAAGAAGCGGAAATTTTATAACTGTGCACCTCCTGTATATGCAGGAGAGAGCCAGACAAACTGAATAATTCCTTGAAGTGGGCCAAGACACAACCTTAAATATCTTTTCCAGCTAATGACAAAAGCAGGTTCTAGAGTGGGAGGAATCACAAACCAGTTATGAGAGGTTACCAGGAAAAGCATGGTGAATAAGGGCATGGTTGTTATGCAGATTTAAGTTCAATGCTTTCTCCATGAATGAGTTTCTAGAGATTTGACTATCCTCCAATTCCTGGAAAAGAGAGGAAGACAATTTTGCAAATGGAGATTTTAACTTATAAATGTGAAAATCTCCTTTAAAAAGGCAACTGCTACTCAGTTTTCAGAACTTTTCACTTGTCTGTTGATTCATAAAAATAACCAGCTGGAAATAATCCTATGGCACAGAGGCATATTTTGAGATGGTATATTTTTCTTACACCTGTGATTCTTCTCTTCATGTGAACACAGACTTACAGCACATACATTTTTATTTTTGCAATCTCAATGATTCAGGGGAGGGTGGATGAGAGCAGGATGGGAGATAGAGTGCCAGTAAGAGAACATCCAAGAATAATTGAAATAGTGTGACATTTCTAACCACACTTTTCTTCAATGAGCTTATGTTGGTATTCAGAGTATATGGGAAGCTTAAAACTCTTAATGCTTCCATTTCTTCATCCCTGCTGGCTTCTCAAGCTTTGGCATCTCTCCTCCTTGAGAATACTGTAATTCTAGCCCTGAAAGATTGTTGGGGAGGTAAGGAATTTTCCCTATACTCGTGTTGATTCATCTCAGACTATTCAAGTAATGCATTTAGCATCAGCCATTAGTAGGATGGAAAAAAAATAAATTACATATATACAGGAAATCTACATATGAAGGATTTCAAAGCCAATGGGAAAAAATGGGGGCATGTATCCTGAAGTAAGGAATGTGATAATAGCCTGAGGCTTCAAGTATAAAAAAGGAAGACTCATGTGGTAAAAAAGAGTGATTCATATGATGACTAGCAATTATATAATTAGATGTTTGTACTGCCTTCTGGATAGGTTTCTGCAACATAATGGTTATATCTGATGAAAATACTAACTCTGGGTAACAGCTTAATTTTATTTTTTTAGGTAATTAAGAGGATAGTAAAAGTGACATGTTTTGAGATGGCCTGTTTTGAACATCTTAGGGAGGATGATCCTTCAATATACAGCACATATTATTTTTTCATGCTACGTGGTCTCTAAATACAAGTGAATATCTTCATCGGGCACTCAACTGGGTAAACAAAAATATCTGCTAAAGGCAAAATGCCAATATTGTGCTTCCCAAGTGATGACATTACATTGCATTTAATGGACCAGTGAGGACATTTGCAGAGTGTTTTGACTCAGTGACCTTCTATGTTGACTTTATCACTTAGCTTTGTCTAAGATTGGAATCCACACCGTAATAACTGGCATATGTAAAGTGACATTTTGTTAGGATGTTAGGGTGTGAACAAATGACTGAGAGGTATGCAGAGACATCAAACTCTTAAGGGATAAATACCCTAAAAGGAGGTCTGGTCATCCACACACAAGAAGGGAAAGGAAACAGATTCTTAGTGAGAAATATTTTTAATAGAATCTGTGAACAGAGAGAATAAGAAAAAAGAATTTCAAATAATAACTTCCCAACAAAACTCCAAAAAGTAACCACCCCATCATGGGCAAGTGCCGAGCATGATACAATGTGGGGTGACAGCTTGTCACAAGTTTAAGGTATCTTCTAGCAGGAAACCACTAGAAATGAGTTGTACAGACCCCAGAGTTCTAGGACAAAAGGAAAGATACAGAATTCAACATGTTCCACTTAATCTAGCATGAGGTGAAGATAATGGCTGCCATTTGCGAACGACCAGGAGCTCCTTCTCCATGTGCCTTTCACCCATGCATCTCTTCACCTGCCCCTCTTCCAAGTATCTGTACATGTCTGTCCTCCATTTCACCTCATTTATATATCTACCTTTCTCCTTAGCAATTGTCCCCCATTTAAGAAGTCTGGTTCTTGGCACACTGGGCATTGTAATCCAAGGTGCTTGAGATCTATAGGTATAGAGAAGGGGTGGAGTTCATTCAGGACATCAGTCCTAGTTTTGCTTGAAGTTTTTACCTCACTGTTCCTCTCACAAGGGGAATAATCAAAATATTTCTGCATTCAGTGTTTTTTTCTTTTTAATCTTCCCTAACCACAAGACAACTGTGAGCTAGCACACTGCTTACATTCCTCTTTCCAGTGCATCTTAGAAAACATAGGAGGACTCATTTAAAAGGTAGACATAGATTAGAGCCCAAATCAAGCATTTAAGTAACTGGATAGTCTTGAAGAAGTTGCTTGAATATTGAGCCTTGCTTTCCACAACTCTAAGATGAATAAATCATAGTTACACACAGGATTGTTTAGAGAAGTTTCCTTTAGATTTTTCATAATGTAGCATGACATATTTTAGTTATTAAAAACATGTTACCTTCTGCTCTGCTCAGATTTTGTTTTTACAAAATAAACAACATGAAAATAGTAAGAAAATTCAATCCAAATAATCTGATCTTGTTGGATATGGTCTAGACCTAGGACCAAGTGATTTACATTTTATATTAATGTAATTTGGTGGAAAATGGAGCTTTCCTGAAACCTTGGCTGTGATTACCCTATCCAAATGCTTTTCCTTCTTTCCTTTTCTCTTTTAAGGAAATCTTTGTGGTTATTTCTCAACACACTGGGGTTACATTTCTTTCCCTAAGAGCATTAGAGGAACCTGGGGTGCAGCCTGAATTGGTGAGATTTATGTCTTCATTCAGCCAATTATGGAGCATTGTGCAACCAGCCCAGGCCAGGCCGGTTCATTGTTGATCTGGGTAGACAAAAAGAGAATTTTGGAGCCTTTGACATGTCTAACATGACTTTAGTGCCGAATCGGGACTGGACATAGGCGGACCAGCCGACAGGGAAACAGCAACTGATCCCTTAGCCACAGAGTGATGCTGCAAATGCCAGAGCTGGGACTCCCTTAAATCCCTCGCTCCTCGGCCCAAGTGTCCGAATTTATATGTTTACACACCCTGAGCACCCCCGGCTTCTAGACCAGGTGGCTGTAATCAAAGGCACGCATGGCTGGCACCCACACCTCTCTGGCCCGGGCATCCATGCATGCCATTGCTCATGCTTCCAAGTGCCTCTTGCACCATCATGATGTCATGTGTTGACAATGAAACGGGAGGAAAGCAAGGTGCTGGTGTGGCCATAAACACTAGCAGTAGGAGGTGAAAAACAGCCAGAGCCACTCCATTTTCTCTGCATGGGGATCAGCAATTTAGCGAGGGCCCAAGGGGCTGGGGAAGGGCTGGCTATTGTGTAGACCCTGTTCCTGGCAAAACAGAAGCACAGAATGGTGAGGAAACTACTGAACCCTGAGAAGGGCAGGGAGGGATTAGTTGTTTTGCTACTATATCAGGAAACATTGAGTATTTCTGAGTATAACTGAAAGCTCAGGTCATGAAAAAGCCACTGGAGCATTGTTGGTATTTGATTTCCAAAGAAGCTATACCACCCAGAGACGACAGCTGTCTACCTTCCTGCAGCACCCAGGTGACACACCTGTTTCTCACAGCTCTCCAGTCATTTGTCCAAATGTTCTCAGTTATTGGACAGAGAGCCTTGTGGGTTTTTATAGAGAGAGTATTGCATTTCTTCTAATGGCACATGCTCTTGTTATTTTAATTTTGCTTCTCCAGCAAATGAAATATCAACGTGTACTGAGGAGTGCAAAAGGAGCCATAAGTGACTAACATTTATTGGGTATTTGCAATGTACCAGGCACTGATATAACTAATTTGCATATAAATATTTAATATCCTTCTCACTGCAAGCCCATAAGGTGTGCATGTATGATTAATGCATGTTAAATTCAGAAGCAGCCTAGTATTCTGGATAGAGTCTGTGGTTACCACTAACCAGCTACGTAAATTTAGGTAACTACTTAACTCTTCTGAATTTCATTTTTCTCTGTATGATGAAGGTAACTATAGTAGCTAATAGTATTGTCATGAAGACTATGATTGCAATATAAAGGGTTAATATCTTGATTCCCCACTCCCCTTCATGAGTTGGTCAGCTCTCAGAACTGTTAAAACAAAAAAACAGACCCTGAGGATTGAATCATTCAGTTTGCCTAGTGACTCACAGCTTGTCTAGAGTTCCATCAAAACTCACACATAGGTCTGTGGAATTTCAGATTTTAAAACTATTATTTACTAAAGTAGTTATTTACCACACCCCGCCCACCTCACCCTACTCCTCCTGTGACACACACACACACACACACACACACACACACACACACACACTTAACATCTGAGCAGGCTCCTGGGAGATCTATTCAAATATATAAATGATATCAGGGTTGGAGAGCTTGGTCAAAAAGTTAGTACAGGTGTTACCTGTGCAGATGAAGGAGAGAGATGTGAGTCAGTCTGAATTTTCCATGCAACTTTAGAAGGCAGCAGCCACTAAAGGCTCAGGACAGTGGTAAAACATGTGGGTTCATCATTAAAGACTCAACTGCATGTCCTCTCTTTGTGTCCCCACCTTCCACCTGGAGAGAGCTGGCAATAGTGCTTCAGCTTCACTGTGTCCTGTTTCCCATTGTCTGTATGAAGACTTAGCTCTGTACACGGAAGATGCCAGTTAAGGAATTGGCAGGAGCCTCTCCACTGAGATATTGTAAGCACATTATCTTAGGAGTTCTGAAGTGGATTATTCTGTTGTGATGGGATCACCTGCATCATAGTTAAAAGCAAGACTGAGGAAGGGAAGCTCAGGAAAGATCAATTTTGATGAAAATTACGTATAGTTTATGTAACTTATTTTTTTTAATGGGTAAGTTGATTCTAAAGGTTGGAAGTTGGGAAAATAATTGATAAATGAAAATCCAAATAAACCAGAGAAGGCTGCTTAGTAAGTCAAAGGAGACTTTGAGTACTTGATGGGCTGCAGATGACACAAGACAACTTGGAGCTGGGAGGGCAGGAAATAGATTGGGGAGAGGGTGAATTGGCCCAGATGACTCATAAAACCCTGAATTCAGCGGTGCTGTAGCACATTGTTTATTCATTCTCTGCCAAAGGAATCACGGTGCTTTTAGGTCCTTACTGAACATGACATGATCCAACTACTCCAACCTCTATGCTACTTGGAACAGCAGCAAGGCAAGGTGAGACTCACAAAAAATATTTATGCTTTATCTGGTTACTTTGCTCCCCACACTAGAAGTGGGTTCGAAGGCATCTGCGGAATTAGCCAATGTCAGTGCTTATTCATATGCCCTCTCCATGCAGAGTTCTGGGCATTATCAGACATGCCAATGAGAAATTGGAGGGAGCCACAGCACCAGTCCCTTCTGTGTATGGACACAGGTCCCTTGGTCCCTAGGAAAATTCTACACATTAGGCTCTGCCTATGGTGTGGTAGAGAAAAGGATTGAAGTATGACTTTTCAAACTTTTCTGGTAAAAGGTAAGTAGAGTAGATTCTTAGCCTTTCAGTTTTGTAGTCAGATCTACTTTTTTTCTAAAATTGAAGTAACATTAGTTTACAATGATTTTGAGGTATTTGAGATATAGCATAACAAACTTCAGGTGTATAATACACCACACCTACACTAAGGCAATCATAAGACTGTACTATAGTCCATTGTGATCCGTCTCATTTTGCTACCACCCTTCTCTTCCTCCCCTTGTAGTTTTATTTCTATAGTCAGATTTCTAGGGTTTGTTATTGATTGGTTTTATCAGAGGCTTTGTTTTATTTCTTTTTATTTCACATATGACACCATCCAGCATTTATCTTTCTCCTTTTGGCTCATTTTGTTTAGCACAATCATCTCCAGTTCCACCCATGTTGTTGCAAAAGGCAAAAGTTTGTCTTTTTTATAGCTGAGTAGTATTCCACTGTGTATACATACCATATTTTCTTAATTCACTCATCTATTTTTGTGCACTTAGGTTTTTTCTTCAACTTGGCTATTATAAATAGTGCTGCAGTAAGCATAGGATTGCATATATCCCTTCAAATTAGTGTTTTTACAAATTTGGGTCAACATCTAAGAGTGGAATTGCTGGATTTCAAGCATTTGATTTTTGAGAGAAATGCAATCATGTGCCCAGAATTCTCTACTTCAAGGATTTTATTCAATATAAAATTCTGCCTGCTTCACAGAAGAATGACTTTGACATTATCTAATTAAATGTAAGTTTGGTACTGTATGTTATTGGGGATTCAGAGTGTAAAGTTCTGGTGCTATTGACAACAGTAATTAGTGAAGCTCATCCTAGTGTTAGAGAAGGCTAGTGAAAAACACCCTCAGTAAGGTCTGGAATAGTCAGGGAAGTCTTCACAAATGAGGTTATCTCTTTTTTCAGCTTTATGGATGCATAATTGACATAGAATATTGTGTAAGTTTAAGTTGTCCAACATGTTGATTTGACATATTTATATAATACAACATGATTAGCACTGTAGCATTAACTAATACCTCCAGCACATTAAACAATTACCATTTGTTTTGTTTTTTTATGTGTGTGTGTGATGAAAGCATTTAAGATCTACTATCTTAACTTTTAAGTATATAATACATTTAACCACAATATTTCTCATTGACTCTCCAGTACTTACTCATCTTCTGTGGGAAATTTGTATCCTTTGGCCGCTATCCCCTGTTGCCCATCCCCATCCCACTTTACACTCTGTCTGTACAAGTTCACCTTTTTTTTTTATTCTACATTTAAATGAGATCATACAGAATTTGTATTTCTCTGATTATTTCACTTAGCATATTGATATTAGGTCCATCCATGCTGGCACATATGTTAGGAGCATTTTATTTTTCATGGCTGAATAATATTCTGCTGTATGTATAAACGACATGTCTTTTATCCACTGTTCTTCTTACTGGAATTTAGGTTGTTTCCATATTCTTCCTAATGTAAATAATGCTGCAATAAACATGGGGATTCAGATATGTCTTTGATATCCTGATTTCATTTCCTTTGGATATAGATCCAGAAATGGAATTGCTGGATCTTATGGCAGTTCTATGTTTAGTTTCTTTTAAAAATAAAAAGGATTTATTTATTTTATTTATACAAGAACCAGGGTACAGGCCAGATGTGTGGGAGTGTAAGAGGATTCACCAGAGACAAAGCGGGGAACTGAACAGGCAGACTGACGAAATACACTGCTGAGGAGAGCAGTGTGTATGACAGGACAGGTCTGCAGCACCATGTGGGACCCTCGCCCACTGGCTGGGCTCGAACTAGAGCTGCCGAGGCTGCGAACAGCTTCACTGTGCTGCGCTCAACCACCTGTGCCACGAGGGGAGGCCCTATGTTTAATTTCTTAAGAAACCTCCATACTTTCCCATAGTGGTTGCAGCAATATATATTTCCACCAAAATTGTACTAGGGTTTCCTTTTCTCCACATCTTTGCCAACATTGTTATGGCTTGTCTTTTTGATAAGTAAGCCATTCTAATGTGTGTGGTGATTATGTCATTGTGGTTTTAATATGCATTTCCCTTATGATTAATAATGTTGAATTCTTTTCATGCACTTGTTGGCTAGTTGTATGTCTTCACTGGTAAAATGCTATTTAGTTCTTCTGCCTAGTTTTAATTGTTTTTACTTTTATTGTTATGGAGTTGTATGCATAGTCTGTCTTAGCTATATGCTTTGAAAGTACTGTTTTTCTCCCCATTTCATAGTTTGCCTTAAAGGAGAGTATTTTTTGAGCTTGACTTTTACCATTGCTGAGATATGAATGGGTAGAAAAGAGAAGAGTGGGCATTCTAGTCAAAAGCATGAAGTGTTTATAAAAATAAAATAGCAGAAAGGAAAACCACATTTCCTAGATGAGATGGTGTTTTGAGAAGGGTAAGATCATGATAAAGTTGGATTTGTTGCATAGATACAATGTCAGAAACTCAGCTGGCTCCTTTATATTTAATGTATTATTTTGCAAAGTAATAATAATAATGGGCATCATTCACTGAGTTTACATTGGTGGCAGATAGCATATGAGGTCCTGGGGATTTAGGGAATGATAAATTGTGTTTAGCCTTAAGTCCTCTAAATATGTTTATGATAAAGCCCCAAAGCTAAATATATTCTAGAATAATAGGGTTAGATTCAACTTATCGAGGGAGCAGAGATAAAGGACTGCTTGCTTTCTTTGCTAGATGCAGGAAAGTCTTTGCTGAGGAAGGAGGTCTGAACCCAGTAATGAAGGATGGCTAGAAGTTTTCCAGATAAAGACTATGGAGGAGGCACTCTAGGTAGAGCGAACCACAGAGTCAAATTCATAGCATCTTCCTGAATCATGATTCTCTTTATTTTAATAAAAAAAAAAAAACCTGATTCACTAATGCTGGTGACAATTTGCGTTCTACCTTATATATTTTCACCTCATCAATGCGATTTGTTTGCAGACCATAATTTCGCAGCTTATCTCTGCAGTGTTTCTCCAGCCAAATTACCCCTCTCAAATATCACTGGAAATGTATCACCTCTGTGTTCTGCTGCTAGCATCACTAACTGTGTCCTTACTTTTCAACTAACCTCAATGGAAACTGCAAAGAGAAATACAAATTGCTCTAGAGCTGAACACAGCCCCCCTTCAGCAGCGCAGCGTGGGTGGACAGGGAACACTGTCACATTATCTTCCCCAAACACCATTTTAATCTGTAGTGATGAGTAAGAGGGAAAAATACTTGGGCTTTACGGAACATCATGGAACGAGTGGGCCATTGTGAAGCACCTATTGTTAAAGACATATCTATGAATTTGACCATAATCTTCCATTCCTTTAGTACTCTCAGTTTCTGAGAGGCATTGTTATGTGTCGTCTTTGTGAGGCTAATATGGATTAGTATAATCAGTGATTTGTAAAAGGGGAAACTGAGCAAAGGAAATGCTTACTGACTGGATGGATAGAAAGATGAAATTACTGTAGTTCAGCAAATGTATTTGAACATATATTATGTCTCAGTCATTTTGTTAGGGACATGTAGGGACATGGTGTATAGATATAAATGAAACTGATATAATTCAAAGCTTCTGGTTACAATTTTTTTGTGTTTTTGAGATTGCTTTACCAACACTCTTCCTTAATAAATCAACTACTCCAGTTTTATATTCAACCTCAACCCAAATGTTATCATCTCTCTGTGGCTTGACTCAAATTCCCCTCTTACCTCTTTCTAAAAACAGTGATTACTCTACCATACTAGCTTTCAAAAAATTCTGTTCTACATTCAGGTCTACTTATTACCTTCTTCACTTGACAGTAATAGGTTGAGGTCCTCTTCAGGTCCCATTAGTAGCTAGAATAACAAAACAACAGATAGATGTTCAGTGAGTAAAGTCATGACACTTGCCTAGGGTGGGCTCATGATGTAAAAGAGATAGACCGGTATAACTTGATTATAATGTTTTAAGTACTATGCTAATAGACCTGAGGTCTTGAGATTGATAGCAAAGCTAACATCTATTTCCTGTTTGCAAATTTATTTTCCAGGCCCCTTCCCATTCTCTTTGCTGCAGGATGGTCCATCAGAAAGAGTCCCCTTTCCGTAAGAAATAGAAATCATGAATAAATAAATTTTGGAAATAATGAATACTAAATCCTTGCTCTTGGGTACATATGATGCTGATTAACGTATTAAAGGCTCTAAAAATTCCTGCAGTAAAGAACCCCCCTAGTCACCCCATTAAAACTTGGGCTTTACAAATGTTTCACATTGCTTCAAAGAACTCATTATATATGAAAACCCATCAGCATGCCACATAATTAGCAAACATGAACATGTTTTGGGAAATGTTGTCTTTTAATTCAGTGTTTATGCTGTGAATAATTTGTAAAACTTTGTATGAATGACGTTAGCTGGGTGGATTTTTACTCTGAACCTACTATGTGATCAGCGAGTTAAAATATCTTTATTTGAGGCTTCCAGACCAGTGGCATTCCTGAGAGGAGAGAGCCAAGTAATGCCCAAAAGATAACATGAATTTCCCTGAGGATGGAGTTAAAGAGCAAGGGTGCCCTGGGGAATATGCCCTTTATGAGGCTTATACAGAGGAAATGTATGTTTGTAACTTGCTTAAGGAAAAGAATTCAAAATTAAAGGTAAAAATGACTACTAATTTAGAGTGAGAAAAAAATGACAAATTACAAATTTTAAAAAGAAGATAAATATTGTAAACATCACAGAAAAGCATATAGTGACACATTATTTTCATATTGCTTGGCATGCTTCTGTGGCACTTTCCCCTACAATACTATGTTTTCTTTGAATGTCTTTTCAGGGGGCAGTTTTATAATATTTCCACAGAGAATAGAAGGGTTATTCAGTCTTTCTTCTAACCTGGTTGATCAAATGTTGTGTTTTTTTTAATAATTAATAGTTTCAATAATTTTATGTTAGTAAAATCAATTAGGAATTTTTGTATTATTTCAAGTGTGTGAAGATACAAATTGTGGTCCTGGTGAGCAAAAGCCACAGGATCAGAAGCACTTAAGGTAGAAGATCTGCTTCTGGAAGCCCTTCCTGCACCTGGATAGTGAGAATAACTTTACTGACACAATGGTGAACTCCATAAAGCTGTCACCCCGGAGAATGAATGTATCTCGATTCAACATGCTATTAATTAAATTGCAAGTATGTTGACAGCCACTTCATTACCCCTCTACATGAGGGGAAGTGTGATGAGAGCAGGGTAGAGGGAAAGCTATGGTGGTTTTCACCCTCTGCCATTAAAATATCTTGCTTTACAAATTTTACCCCCCAAAATAAAATAGGGTCTAGTGAACTTATTGGGAAGTCTACTGTCTGGACTTTGGAAGTCCCAAGTGAATGGCTACTCAAATGATTCAGTTTCATTAGCTTTGTTTTGTGGGAGGGGGGATGGGTTGGAGAGAAGGGCTATAATTATGAAGTAATGAGAAAGGTGTCATGAGGCACAGAACCTTATATGGAAAGCAACATAAAAATCTACTGAAAGATCTCAAGTCCAGTTCCCCAATGTTGGGGGGTTACCTACGAATACTGTGGAATACTGTGCCTATCCTCAATCCTCTGAGACCTTAAAGGTGACATCTCTCCCCTGTCCCCTTGCTGTCCAGCTGTCCTTCATCTGCTAGGCACCAGGCAGGTAACCAGTGGGGCTGTCGGTGCAACAGAGGCTGGACCCACTGCAAAGACTGTATTTGTCTTTCCTTTATTTTACTGGAAGCCTTTGCTGCCATCCGGGCTGGTAATTGCACCACACCGTTTCAGAATCGATTGCTTTTAGAGCTGTTGAGCTTTTATTACTGCTACGCATTGGGGGAGAGAGGAGGAAAAGAAGCAGGTTGGCCTGGGCTTTGCGATAGATGAATGTTGTCAAATTGTCTTTCTCCAGCTGTTGAATAAAACTAGTAATGCTGTTTCATAAAACCAAAAAGAAAAAGAAAATGAGAGTGTGAGAAAGAGAAGAGATGTCACAGAAAAGAGAGAAAGAACAAGAGAACATATGGATCTGACTTTTCTTGGAATAGACAGCAAAGCCATATTGTGATGTTGACTACATAGTGCAGTAATGTTGTAGGAATGTAGCAAGAAGTAAAAGACACATTTAAAAATATAGGTTGGCAGTTGCACAAATCTGCCATCTTCGCAAGTTTTCTGATGTTTCCTCATTCTTAGAGCTGCGGAACAAGGTATGTTTTGTTTTATTTAATCTTTTCCTCACTCAGATTGATAGACTATCATTTGGTTCAAATATGATGGAATTCCTCCTTATTTAATCATTTCATTGCAATTTCATTGGAAGATGACTCTATCCCCACAATTAGGCCAGTTTTTCAACTCTTCTCATGTATGATAAATTTATCCAGTAGCTCTTTGTCATGTTTCATCCTAAGATAGCAAGTGGCAGGGCCATTAATTGGAGAATGAAGGATTCATATAATTAGATTTAATGAGATGCATTCTCATTCTAACTAGAATTTGTCTCAAGAAAGGAACTAGTTAGCTTATTCTAGGAGCCTTGGAAAGCAGAACAGATTACTCATGCAACCTTTGTTCCCACTGATTGTTCACCGTCTCAGATAGTGTGCCATGGGGCAGTTTTCTCCCACTTGGTAGCCCCTTTAACATCCATGTACACGAGTTGGTTTCTTATCAGCCTTTCATAAAAGGCTTAATGACAGTTTATGGTGTTTATGTTTTCCCTAAAGTAGTCTAAGTCAGTCATTATAAATTGGACTTTCAAGTTAAATTGGTCTGAAATGTATTTAGGCATCATATAAATGTCAGATCTTTCATAGGATTCTCCCCAACTAAGCAGGTGGCAACACACCCATTCTAGAATGCCAGTTTAAAGTGCAGGAGACTGAAATGACTTGCTGGAGTTATATATTAGGTCAGATCTGGGCATAAAAACCCAGGTGTCCTTATTCCCATCCTACTAGTAATAATCAGATTCACTGCTATAATACAGCAAATTATAGGCCCTACGTTTGGAGCAGGATGCATGCAAATGTCATTTGTCACTTAAATGTATGAATAATGTCTTCCCTGGTGGCCGCTCTGAGGCTCTCAGCCTGTCATGTCAAGTGCATTGCCTTTATTGAAATGAAGAGGCCACTTGGACCCCTGATCTCAATGGCAGTTGGCACCAGAAGAAGCACCAGCCTGTTGTGTCATATAGGAAGATACTGCCCAGTATGCAGAGCTGCCAGCACCCCCCCCACAAATGATGGCATCTGATAACCCTGCCAAGTGGTTGTCTCTTTGCCAGCTCCCCACCTACACCCCAATTAGTTCCTGCCCAATAACCAGTAAAATGGTATTTTGAGATACAGCTGATTTCCATGTGAATATCATACAATTTTATGTTCATTTTAACATTTCAGCCTCTTCAGCTTGGAAATTAGCATTTAGGGGAAACATAGTTTATGTTAAAGACAGTAAAAAAATTACTTTGCTTGTCTTTCAGATTGATCCCTATCTGATATTTGTAGGACTATATAAACCTAAAGCAATATGAATCAAAAGAAAATATTTATTGATGGATAGTTTTTATTTCTACTAAATGTCCTCCCTGGCAATCGGAACCTATTCTAAGATCATCAATGAAGCATGTCAGTTCAATTCTTCATGGAGTTTAGAAGAAATTTTGATCATAGTAATTTACAATATACAAGTAAGTTACACAGTAATTAACAATAAGTAAGGCCATAATATAACATCATGAACATAATATAAGGGACATGTTTAACCTGTAAACTTTGAAGAAGTAGTTAGAGGCTCAGTCATGTCACTGTGAAAATCTAGCTCATTGCAAAAACCTATTTGGTTTTACATGAATATAACTTCTTGAAAATAGACAAAAGACTTTATTTGGGACCTCCCCAGTGGTGCAGTGGTTGAGCCCTGGGTTGCGAAGCTGCCCTCAGCCTCTGCAGTGCTGGTTCGATCCCTGGCTGCTCCCCAGCCACCGGAGGAGGGTCCCACATGGTGCGCAGACCTCTCCTGCCGCCCGCTGCTCCCCTCAGCAGTGTACTTCGGTCCTTCTGCCTGCTCTGCTCCCCGCTCTGGCTCTGGTGAATTCTCTCACCCTCCTGCGCTTCTGACTGTACCCAGTGCATGTATAAATAAATAAATAAATCTTTAAAAAATTAAGACTATTTAATGTTAAGGCCTTATCTGTTGTGGACAATCATATAATGAGGCTCAAATATGTTACCATTCCCATTTTATAAGTAGGGCTAGAGGATTTACAAGAGGGCTAGAGGATTTTAGTGACTATCAAACTTTCCCAGGGAACATGTCAAAATTGTGATTTGTCTCAGGACCTTCCCAATGGGTCTTGCCTTCACACTTGCCCCATTATTTCTGAGGTACGCCTCTTGTTGGTGTAGAGAGAAAAAGATAACCGCAAAATGCCGTCTTTTGTGGATATCATTTTCAGGGGGCTTTGGGGGAGTAATAAAGATGCTATTTAGTAATGAGCATGTTCAATTTCTTAAAAAATTTGGTCTAAACTTTGAGAATGGAAACATAAAATTGGCAGGGGTTAAACTTCATATATGACAAGTTAACTGAATTTTTTTTTTTAATTACAGTGCACTCTATCAAAATTGGGTCTCATTAAATAAATCCCCATTCTGTCACTGTGGAACTTCCCACAATTAATATGAAGGCTAACACGTTCAGTTAATGACACTTTTTCTTTAAAAAAAAAAAAAAAGAAAGAAAAAGCAAGATAAACCTTTTATCCAGTTTTCCTTCTTCGAAACACGGGGAGCACTATGGCCAGTTCTAGGGCTGGGTAATTGAAT